GATTTTTCAACCCTTGTCAGATTTTATATATTCTGTGCCCCGGCGTCGAAGTGATTATCAAATAGCGCTTGTTTATTTAACATGGCATTACCGCGGGAAATGGGAGTTTAGCAGGAAGTTAGCAGACAGTGTTCGCCCGCCGCTATTTTGTCATTTGGAATCGTCAGGGGAGGCGTCCCGACGCGGACGCATTCTTGGTCCCCCTCATCGCCCCTCCCCCCTTTCAGGAATGATTTTAACGAACCTCGTTCTCCGATCCTCCGACGGAGGATCGTGGGCGACTAGAGAACGGTCTTCGTCGGGATCCGTGCGTTTTAATTGCTGTAAATCTGTCCCACGGAACACGCGGGAACTGCGTTTTCTCCTCCCTTGGCTCTCAGCCGCGTCTCCGCTTCTCCCGCGACGATCAATTGTTCGAATCTGTTCCCGGCCTCTGTCCCGTGTACGATACTCTCGCACACCCTGAAACGCAATTAAAACTGATTATTAAAGTGTACGAGTGAGTTCTGGAAAAGTAAAAAAAAATGTCGCGACGAGATCTGTACCTGACTCGAGACAAAAAGATACCGGTGCAATTTCGAGCAGTCTGGGAACCGTTTCGAAGGAATTCATGTTTCGACGAGCGGTGTTTCGTTGTGGCGAGGCGCTAGAAATTGGTGTTTTGCAAGCGCGTGTCTGGAATTAGTAGGTGTACCAATATAAATAATCTTCTATTCACCCGAGTTCTAACTCCATTTTATAAAAAAATTTAATTAATCCATTTACGCGCGTATCATTGCTCGAAAGAATACAAATTCGCCAGGATATGTAAAAAGAAAATTCAACTTAGAAAGCAACAAATATTTTTTGAAGTCCTAACTCCGAAATTTTGGATGTTTGTTTTTATCAGATATAGCATGGTTTCAAGAGAGCTTTAACGTGATTATAGGAAATTTTTTGTCAACTCTTTTTTTTTTTTTCATGATTTTTCGAGGTCACCTTCAAGTTTTTGCAAATACACTTATAATTTTTTTACGCCTATCTGTTAGAGGATTTCAAGACGAATTCGGTAAATATTATAACATAACATGTGTTACTTTTTTTTTCATCTGGGTCGAGAAAAGATTAAAGAAATATTCGAACTGTAATATCACAAAGAGTATCGTATGCTACGCCATTGTACGTATTTCGATCTCTACTGATCACGATTCGTAGTTCACCCTCTATAAGTGCACCTTTATCAACGTGGAAATAAAATCCGTCACTCCGTCGATCTTTTTCTATTTCGCCACGGTTCACGCGAATGCCACGAATGCCTGTCTTCGTGTTCTCCTAATTATGCACATTCACACACACGCCGATCACACCGTAGCCCCGTATTTTCATCGCGCCAGGAAAATATCGACAATAAACTGAAAAGAAGGAGGGGGGGCGCAACAAGCAACGCTGGCGACAATCATCTCAAGAACGTCGGCTCTCGTAATTTCCATCGTCGGGGGTGTTGCCTGACAAATCGCTTTAATTACTCGCTCGTCTAGTTAATTCCCCCACCCTCTCCAGACGGACACGATCCAAGAGCCAGGGACGGGTGTGTGTGGGGGGGATAAAAGAACGGAGCGCTGCGATAATTATGAACCGCGAGCTCCTCCTTCCTTTCTCGAATTTCTTCGAATAATGACATCGTTGTTTCGAGAGTCGGCTTATCTAATTACTTCGGCAGGCCTGCTTGGAAGAGAAGATTCAAAGATTCGAAGATTCGAACAGCCTTGTTCGGCCACTTGTCTCGCGGAGAACGTCAATGTTTCGTCTTCAGATTCGATATACAGTAAATCCTCGATGAATGCTCGAAGGCTCCTCGGCACTAAACATTAAATATTTCATAAACTAATAGCCAGATGCGGCTGAAACAAATATTATTGGCTTCAGAATTTTAAACTCTATCACTGTCAGCGTTAAATCTAAGGACCCCCTCAGTGCCGAGGAGCCTTCGAACACTCATCGAGGATTTACTGTATCATCACTGTTCACCGAGTATACGCTCCCGCTCGTAAATATTAGGAGACTTGTCGAATACAGTAGACTCGCGTTAAAGTAGCAGTGCGGGGCTCTCGAGGCCTGTTTTTCCTGGAAACGCTTCTTTAACGCGAGCCAATAGGCACGCAGAATCTCGTGGCAGATTGGTCGACCCACCAGTTGGATCAGAACTTCAGTTACAGATGGCGATCGATATTGGGGTGCGCATACGTGTGAGTAATGCGTGCGAGCTGGGGAGTTCCTACCGTTACTTTAACGTGAGTTCACTGTATGCAATAAATGATACGAAAATGTCGAGATACATCTTGTAAAGGACTAATGAGGAACAGTTAAGAATAATAAATAAATTAATTATTATAAATTACAAGTGTAGGTTTAGTTTAAAATTGAATTATAAATCACTATTAGTGATGTTGCTCACTATCTCTAGATTAACGAATCACGGTATAATTGTGGATCCGTGAAAGATACGGCTCCATGCCCCAAACCCCTCTGAACTCAGCGTAACGTTAAGAACCGCAGCCGGCAACAATGAGAATTCCTTTCGACTAGATTTTCCCGTTCTAATATTAAATTTTCCGGAGACCTGGCGCGGCGTCATGATTACAAACGACTAAACCCGGAACACTTGAGATTATTTTTTATATTACACTCATTCTGATAATTCCTTATATTTTCCAACTGGAAGGAGTAGGTATTGTTCATAAAATATCCAATGTTAATTGTTAAGTTAATGAACGAGATATTCATTAACGGAGAGAGATTATGAGAAATGACACGGTGCTTCGTAACTATGGGCCACAGAAACGCGTTTCCGTTCTTCTGACAATTGCCAACCAGTCAAGATTCACCCCCTCTCTCTCGAGGAAGTCTTAACAGACGCAAACAACGTTAGTAATTAGAAAAGTCCGACGCCCAAGACGCGCGTGCGTATCACCTTCTCATTAGTGGGACTAGTTTGTCATTAAGCTCTCCGCGCTTCTCGCTCGTCGTCCTCGTAATTCTATCCCGGTCGTGACTCCCCCGCGAACAGACAATTATTACGCCCATTTAATGCGAATTTTAGATCGCTGGGCTGCGTCGCGTCGTCCCGAGGAACTCCAAGTGGTGGAATCCGAGCTTTCCATCAGAAGCGACAGGATTTCACTTTCGTACCGCGAAGAATTCTCATTACACTTCCGAACGAGGGTACCTACCTCCGAACTCGATGCGAGTCGTAAATAATATAATAATTTAATCGAAGAAGTATATGTCACATGTTGTCGAGAAACAATTTTCAAAGCATCAATGGCTACAGTAATGAAATTCGTTTATAATTTAGTGGGATGGCGATTGCCGATGATAAATTTGTTGTTTCATGTGCAGTGAAACCGGATACATTGGGTGGAACGGTAAAGTTTTTACGTTTTTTTATTAGATGCGTGGAACATTTCACCGGTATACAATTAGAACATATAGAACTTCACTGTGAGTACTCTTAAGCACTCTGGTACCTTCTGACGACTACTGAGCCCTCGGGTACCTTTTGACCATTCCTAAGCACTCAGGTATCTTCTGACCACTACTGAGCACTTGAGTACCTCCTGACTACTACTGAACCCTCAGGTACCTTCTGACCACTACTGAGCACTCTGGTACCTTTTGACCACTTCTAAGCACTCGGGTACCTTCTGACTACTACTGAGCACTCGGGTACCTTCCGACTACTCCTAGGCACTCGGGTATCTTCTGACCACTACTGAGCACTCTGGTACCTTTTGACCACTCCTAAGCACTTGGGTATCTTCTCACCAGAACTGAACCCTCGGGTACCTTCTGACTACTACTGAGCACTCGAGTACCTTCTGACTATTGCAGGGCACTCAGGTACCGTCCAAGCGAGTGCTTGTGGTCAGGTGCCATGTGAACACTTTGATACCATCTGTGCACTCGGAAAATCCTAAACACTCGCTTACCTTCTAAACACTCTGCTATCTTTCAACTGGTTTTACGTATTCTAGTCCTTTCTGAGTACTATAGTACTAATACTACCATACCATACTTCAATTACTGAACGTTTCAAATCCAGATAAAGTCACAAACTAGTTCTAACTATCATTTCACCTGCTCCATCATTGATGTTTCCATCCAGAATAAACGAACTCCGTAAGAATAGCGTGAATCTCTCTCCCCCGTTCCTAATCAGTACAATTTCAATAGAAACAATTACACAGGGAAACAACGAATTCCGTTTGATTACCCTCCGCAGATTCTTCCGTTTTTCGTGAAAGAAAGAGAATTCTTCGCGAAGCTGGGGGATGGGTGGTGTTCTCGTTAGGCATTCCCCCGATTCATCCATCCCTTGGTAGAAATCACGAAGACCCAGCTACGGTTAACCGCAGGGTATAATAAAAACGGTGTTTCCTCTTGTTGTTCCAGGTAGGATGCAGCGATACGAAACGCGGTGCTGGTCCGCAACGAGGCGATGAGAAGGCTGAATGGAGGCCGAGGAAGCCTCAGAGCCCCCTGGGGCTCCGACCAACGTCTCCTACGTCAGAGTGCAACGAGATCAAGCGTAATTGCGTCACGTCGCGGCTAATCCATAACCTCTCCCCCTGGCCAGCTGGTCTCTATTCCCGCCACCGATTCTCTGGAAGCTTGCGACGCCCAGCATCGATTCAAAAGGGAGTAGTGATCAACCAAACGAACCAAACCTGTAAAGCCAATTTGCAAAATACACCCTTTCGTCGAGCCTAAATCAGGCCCGATCGCCTAACGTAAACCGATCAGAATTAAAGAGGCGATCTTCTCTACGGACGGCCTCTGATCATCTTTTTCCTCCACGACGCACGTTCCGTTTCGGGGCTAAAGCATCGACTGAACTGAATATGACTGCGGGTCTCCTGAGAGATCGACAACACCGCGTACAATCCCGAGGAGCAACGAAGAACAGTCACCCCCTGGACGATTTATAGGTTAGGTGTCTTGAAACGAAGGAATCTGAGAACAGACCAATATGGCCGCGCCGGTGATCGAGAAGAAACGGTTCTTCTGCCGGGAATGGGCGTTCGTGAAACTGTCCCATTGCTTGGAGCAGAGGCCAGCCTCGAAAACCTGCGGCGCGTTGGTCGTCGGTGGGCCAGGAAGCGGGAAAACCGCGCTCTGCGCCGAACTGGCCTGGCCGTCGACCACCGCGAACGCTAGACACCAGAGGTCACTGAACAGGAGATTGCTCGCCAGGCACTTTTGCCAGGCGAGAAGCGAGGCTTCCTTGTCGCCGGCCCAGTTCGTTAGGTCCCTGGTCGCTCAGCTTCTACAGGCCAGCTCGGATGGAATTCACAGGTTAGTGAGGATGATCGTCTTAGACCAGATCGTTGGAATATGGAACTTCCGAATGATGATGCGTTATAGTGCCGTACCCGAGCTATAGTGACTTCAGGTGTGACCCTCTCAGTTGGTACGCTATATGATACTCTTAAGGCCCACTGTCCACTACGCTTCATAGTGTCTTGTTTTTTGATTAGCGGAGCTACCAAACCTACTAAATTCTTGCAAGTATTTTTATTCATTCTATAAAAAGAATGAAATGATCATTTATGTTCTTTTCTGTGTAAAGATATAACCAAATAACTTATCCGACTTTGTTGCCCGACATCTTTGCGAATGAGGAAAATGAAGCTTTCAGTACGCTCAAGTGGATAGAAACTCAAACATAGCGTTATCGTCGTGTTGTACGCTACGCTGACGTGTCTATGACGAGACGCCTTAGTGGACAGTAGCCCTAAGCCTTTCACACCTGATGGTCACAATTGTGTACATGAAGTTTCTACGCTGATATTTCGGCGATGATGAATGTTTCGGAAATTTAAACACGCTCTGATGAAGAAATACAGTACGATTCCATTGACAATTTGCCTTTGCCTGATGTTGGACCTCCAACTCGCTGCATATTCCCAAAATGTCCTGGCTGCTGAAGGATTCAGTGCAGTCAGTGTAAAATGCATTTGTATGTCCAAGGGGAAAGAAACTTTTTCTTACAATTTCACACAAAGCCTTAGGTACAGTGTGTTGCAAAACCATATCTTTCTTATAAGTTTGAATTTTTTCATGTTCTTTAATTTATGCTCTCATAGATGTCATGCGTATATTTAATATCTACGAAACTATGGAACATATAAATATATTTTTTAAACAAAACATCATATAAATAGTCTACCGAGTTAAATTGTGTAATCGAATACTTTTTTTTACTCTGAAAAGAAAATTCTCGTCTGAAACGGTTAAGGGCTGCACTTATTCGATTCCATTATACTTCCCTTTACTAAACATCTGAAATACTTTCTGTACTTTTCAAATTTGAAATATTTATTTCTTTATAAGATGTCAAACTATTTAATAAGTTCTTCCTCTGCCCGTTTCAATACACGTATACCTCCAAGGCTCCAACAATCATTACCAGCAAAATACGTTGGCCGTCCCTGGATGTTTAACTTGCCCCAGGAAAGACTTAAAGGCCTGAATGACTCGAATCCCTGCTGATTTTACGAAAATCACTATAGCTCGGACAGGCACAACACATACTTTTAGTTTACTTTTTCATTTTTCTTTTATTCGTAGAGCGTCTCCAAATTCGCCAACACCTGGCAGCACCGCGACGACAACCACCACCACCAACGCCACGACGAACCCGTTAACCTCGAGGGAAGCGGTGGCCGAGGCCTACGCCGAGAAACTTCGAACGGACCCCGAGATCCAAGCTGCTCTGCAACCAGACGTGCTCGACCGAGATCCCGACGACGCGCTGAAAAAGGCTCTTCTCTTCCCGTTGCTGGAGGTCGAGCCGCCGAAGAGCTGCCTGTTCCTGTTGGTCGACTCGATCGACGAAGGACAGACACTGAATCCACCGCAGACCGGCACCAGAGACTCGAGACGCGAGAACGAGAATGTCAGCCGAACGATCGCCGAACTGTTGGCGAACCATCACCACTTGTTCCCCCAGTGGTTATTGCTGGTCTGCACCGCTAGACGTCAGAGCAAGACGATCTCGAGGATGTTCACAGGATTTCGGAAGATCTCGTTGGACGATCTGAGGAAGTCACACGTGGTCAGGGATGTACAGCAGTATATTCTTGCACGGTTGGATCAGGAAGACGCGCTCAGGTAGGCAATGACATGTTTTCCATGCGGATGTACAGTAAATCCTCGATGAGTGTTCGAAGGCCCTTCGGCACTGTCAAGGAGAGGTCCTCAGGTGCAACGCTGACTTTTTAATGAGATTTAGCACAGTGATGGAGCTTGGTGAGATGAAGAATGATATTTGGGTCAGCCGCATATGGCCATTAATTTAGGAAATATTTAAAGGAGACTGGTGTAAACGGGTTAAAAGTGAATAAATTTGTGGGAAGTTCTTGTGAAGAAATTATTACACCAATGTTTTTGAAACTTTTAGAATACTTTATTGTACAATTAAACTGAATACAGATATTTTTATTTTCACGATTAATCTATAAATATTGTAGTTAGAAGGATTTATGTGCCGACCGAATATAAATTTCAGTAACTCCCAAAACTAAATGGTAGGAGACACTTCGCCTACCTCACTTTTCCCCTAGCGGAAGCCAAGTTTGTTTGTCAGTGTACACTCATCGAGGATTTACTGTATGTCATCAATAGCTAATTCAGATCTTATAAACCGCAGGTGTAATACTGCGAACTTTTAATATACTTGTTTAGATTTTTTTTATGTTAGCATATTCAGCTTCAGAAATTCGGTTCATAAAATTTTATAAAGTATGTGACTTATCTGTTGCAGACTAATATGCGTTCTACGTAACTATTTCAGTATTGACACTTTCGTACACTAATAGGAACTTATCTTCGTTTATCTTTATCATCTTAATAAAGATAGTATATTAAATAAATATTAATATTAATGGCCATATTAGTAGTCACATTATGTGTACCACTCTGTACAGTACATATCGAATACAGTAAAACTTGGATTAGTACTCGAAAATTTGGACTGGAGCCCAGGTAATTACTAAGTAGAGGAATCGATTCTAAATATAAAATCAATAACTAATGCAACAATAAAAAATTTTTCTTCTTTTTCCAATTAAACTTTTACTATCGTATTTGTAAGATTTTTCTGATTAAAATGATACCAAACACGGTATAATTTGGTTCATATTTATTTATTCATCATTTAAGACACTTAGTAATACTGACTATACTACATTAATCACTATCGGTAAGTAAATATAATTGAAATTATATCGTGTTTGGACCAGTTTTAATCATAAAAATCTCACAAATACGTTAGTACAAGTTTCACTGGAAAAAAGAATAAAAAATTTGGATAAATAATAATTTGGGAATGAACACTGGGTCCTTACGCCGTAGATTGTTTCGGACAGTGCGGACACAACTAGTACTTTCGTACTAGACCTGGTACTTTTAAAAAATGTTAACAAAACAAAAACAACAATAGCACGAGAGTTAGACATACGAGTTTAATATTTTCTTCTCTCCCACATTCAGTAAAACAGGCATGATTTCTCTTTTTGTTTTCTCCCTAATCCGATACCCACGGAATCCTAATGGCATTAGCCTCTGCAAAATACGATATATTCTTCAACAATGAAAACAAGTGGAGGAATTAGATATTTTAATATGAGTAACCACCGCTTAGTGATGCTCAACGTAATGTAACTCCTATTTTGTACAAATTTCGCTTCACATTAGCAATTTGTCGGGATATTTAAATGGTCAGATGCTTAAATAATAAGACAGAAATATCGTAAATTGCCCGTTAAAGGGTGAAACGCAAGCAAATAAAAATTTAGTACCTTTCTTCCAATTTAGTATCTATTTTCTGTAGAGTAGGTACGAAATATTGTTGCTGGGTTGGTCACAGTGGTTTCGGGTACACTGATCCAAGTTTTACTGTATACGATTTCTCTGTTGTTCATCCAGGCAGCACATCTCGTGCGACACGGCCGAGATGCTGAACCAGCTGCACATCAAGAGCAACGGCTGTTTTCTGTACCTGGAGAAGGTTCTCGACGGTGTCGCCGAGAACTTCATAGTCCTGCGCGAGGTACGCGAGATACCGGGCACCCTGAACGGTCTCTACCTCTGGCTGTGCCAACGAATGCGTGAAGACCGCCTGCACGACGATCACCGTCGAGGACTTCAATCGTCGTCTCCACCTTCTGCGCCGTGTCATCTCGGTGTCCCGTGCTGGCGCCCTGATGTTGTTCCATCACAGTTTCGCCGAATGGTTGCTGGACGTGAAACACTGCACGCAAAAGTATCTTTGCTCCGCGATCGAAGGCCACGCTATGCTAGCCGGTTACTACACCGTTCGCGGGTCAGATTTAAATCCCGATGAGATCTGTGTGCTGGGACAGCATCTCCAACGGTCCATCACCAATGTAGCCACCACAAACTGCAATCTCGATGTCCATACACTTCAGGTGCTGTGGATGATCGGTAGCGGGGCACCGATCGAAAATTGCTACCTGGACAGCTCCGAGTGTATTCTCTGGCCGAGGCAAGAGGTTAAGCTACTGAAATTGCTTATCGACGCTGGGGCGAAACCGTCTGAAAAGGTGGCGGAGGACGACGCCAGCAAAGATGCTGTTTCTTCTAGTCAGGTATTCCATCCTTTAGTTAGGTCCATTTAGAAACTGGTAAATATTTACCTAGAAACTTGTTAACTTGCCGTTTAGGAAAGGGTGAAATTCATTTAGTTTGGATTATCCGTTCATTTATCCAGCTTCTTGTAGACTCGGAATTTCAATAGTTTTCTTTTCTTTTTTGGAAGCATCCACAGTTATATTTCGTTTTTGTGAAAGGTTTCGCAGGACGTTAGCCCAATCGATGAGTCTCCTAGCGAACCGTTAACAGAGCTGCTTGGCGAGAGCGGAGACATCAATCAAACAGATTCTTGTGGCCGAACAGTGCTGCACACGCTTGCTGCAGACGGTAATGCATCTTTGTTGGAATTGGCTCTAGCGACGTGCCCTCAGGTGAATTTCTATTCCTGTGTAGTCTCGTCTGTTCAGAACGTCCGAGACTCGATCCAAGCTGTATCGAGAATGTGTTAACTTTTCAGGCGAAATTGGAAGCCACTGATCGTCATGGTCAGACACCGTTGAACTTGGCTTCGAGGCACGGCTACGCGGACGTGGTGCGAGTGCTTTTGGCTGCTGGTGCCTGCGCAGATCATGCGGACTGTGATGGTTGGACCGCTCTCAGAGCTGCTGCCTGGGGAGGGCACACTCAGGTGATTAGAATATCAGTGTAGCTGAGTGAAAAAAAATATAGTATTATCCGCCAAACGAAAGGATAGGTACTATACTGTCTAGTACAGAGTCATTCCACGCCAAATCGATCACTTTTTGCACTCGTTATCCAGGGATGCTTTTGTTCAAAATGAAAATTATTATAATAGGGCAATCCTTCTAGATTAAAATAATCGAAGAACGAACTCGATACGATAATAAATAGTTTCCGAGATAGAAATTCTTAAGTACATCGCTGTTTCACGAAAATAGGAAAAAATCGTAAACTTCGGTGGTTTGTATTTTGTAAACAAATTCAGGAACAGAAAAATGATGAATTAAACCCCCCTAATTTTACATATTTTATTTTGAACAACATCCCTGATAACGAGTGCAAAAAGTGATCGATTCGGCGTAGAATGACCCTACAGTAAATCCTCGATGAGTGTTCGGAGACACCTCGGCACTAGACATATAATATTTCCTACACTAATGGCCTTATAAGCTCTATCACTGTGCTAAACCTCATTAAAAAGCCAGCGTTACACGTAGTGACCTCTTCTTGCCAGTACCGGGCAGTCTTCAAACACTCATCGAGGATTTACTGTAATACACACCGTGTTTTTAACAATATTGTATCACGAATAGAGACATTAACGAAGGATCTATAACGAAAACGTAGGTCGTCGAGATGCTCTTGGAGCACGGAGCGATAGTCGATTGCGCTGACTGGGATCAACGAACCGCGCTGAGAGCAGCTGCGTGGGGTGGCCACGAGGACATCGTTAAAGCACTTCTCCAGCACGACGCCGACGTCAACAGAACGGACGACGAGGGCAGAACCGCCTTAATTGCCGCCGCCTACATGGGCCACAGTGAGATAGTCGAACACCTTTTAGACTTCGGCGCGGAGATCGATCATGCTGATAGCGACGGAAGAACGGCCCTCAGTGTCGCTGCTTTGTGTGTTCCATCGAATCACGGCTACGCGAAGGTTCGTGTTTGATTTCCTCGTTTAAAACTACAATTCGTTACGATTAAAGTCAACCCTAAAAAATTGACCCTTTTACTAGCCTTAGTACAAGAGATAAAAGTTTCCATAGGTATCTGAGAACTCGGTTCATTTGTTCCTTCTTTCGAGGTCTCTGTTCTACCTTTATAGATCAGTATCGTAGTCTGTCTCTTACGATACTATTATGGATAAAACTAAAATTCGACTGTAACTCTGGTAAATCAACATTATCCTCTCGTGACACAGGTGGTCACGATACTCTTGGAGAGGGGAGCTGCTGTCGACCACCAGGACAAAGACGGCATGACGCCGTTACTAGTGGCAGCCTTCGAAGGACACCGTGACGTCTGTGAGCTGCTCTTGGAATACGAGGCGGACGTGGATCACTGTGACGCCACCGGTCGTACACCTTTATGGGCAGCAGCCAGTATGGGTCACGGATCGGTTGTCGCCCTTTTGTTATTCTGGGGATGTTACGTTGACAGCATCGATAACGAGGGCAGGACCGTTCTCAGCGTGGCTGCTGCCCAAGGTGGCACTGATGTGGTGAAACAATTGCTGGACAGAGGTACAGATCTCTGCTTCAAAATTCGTGTCTTCTCCTTTATTCGTCGATTATCGAACAATTGAAACTATTATATATATATATATATCTGACGATTAAGAAAAATAAAATAAACACTGGTATAACCTATGATGTTCCAGGTTTGGACGAACAACACCGAGACAATTCTGGTTGGACACCTCTACATTATGCTGCCTTCGAAGGCCATATCGATGTGTGTGAAGCGTTGCTAGAAGCTGGAGCGAAAATCGACGAAACAGACAACGATGGAAAGGGAGCCTTGATGCTAGCAGCGCAAGAGGGGCACTATACTCTGGTGGAAAGACTCCTGGAACATCATGGTGCGCCAATTGATCAACACGCCCATGACGGAAAAACTGCTCTAAGGTATTCTCTTTTAATATTGTTCTTCGGATAGGGTATGAAAACGCTCTTCTGCGTCATTCTGTAAAGTATTGTTTTATCGATAAAACTAAATACAGACTTGCAGCTCTGGAAGGGCATTATGACACTGTCAGGGTACTCTTAGCCCATAACGCTGATGTCAACGCGAAAGATGCAGACGGCAGGAGCACTCTGTACATCCTTGCCCTGGAGAACAGGCTGGCAATGGCGCGATTTTTATTGGAACATGCGCGTGCCGATGTAGAAAGTAGGGACTCGGAAGTAAGTAACTGAGAGAATCTCTGGTCTGTTACGACTTTTATTTATAGTTTTACTTCTGACGTATTATAGCCGTAGATCAAGGTCGATAAACGTTGTTGCAACATTGCAGGGCAGAACTCCTTTGCATGTAAGTGCTTGGCAAGGACACGTTGAGATGGTGGCTCTTCTATTAACGGAGGGTAGCGCGAATGTAAATGCCTGTGACAACGAAAACAGAACCCCTCTCCATTCTGCAGCCTGGCAGGGGCATGCTGCCATTGTCAGACTACTTCTAGAGCATGGGGCTACGCCTGATCACACTTGTAATCAAGGCGCAACAGCTCTGGGTAAAACGCAACTGTTTTCTTGCACAACTTACCATCGATTAAGGAAAACCAAAACACAATCAACTTCATCGATGAATATAAATTAGGTATTGCTGCCCAAGAAGGCCACGAACACTGTGTTCGAGCACTCCTAAATCATGGTGCTGATCCCAGTCATTCCGATCATTGTGGCCGTAACGCAATCAAGGTAGCTGCCAAGAGTGGACACGACACAGTTGTTAGGCTCCTTGAAGAACACTCGGCTAACCAACGAAGTCTCAGACCTGGCATTAATGGAGGTTGTTTTAACGCGCATGGAAATACAAACGATGAAACTATGTTTTAAAACTCTTATAATTTTCGTTTATTTTGATCCAGGTGGAAGTAGTAGTGCTACTTCGGTAACCTCCAATTCAACAGCGGAGACAAAACCATCGTCCGCGATTCTGAATCCTCTCTCGACACAGTACAGTCCCGCGGAATCGCCAGACTCGACGAAGAGGAGAAGCTGCGTGTCCCTGGGGAATAACTCCAGCAACAGTAAATCCAGCAGTAACTTAACCGGCAGCACAAAGAGCGATCAAGGGAAATTCAATCAGAACTCGATGGTGAATCAGGTAATAAAAGTAGGTAACAACAAGATATATCTAATGCTTTTCTCCATTAACTCATAACTGTAACTTGAAGAATCTATCAGGCTCCGATACCACTTCCAATCAGCTCAATCCGTCACACGTTTCATTAACCGCTGCATGCTTTTGTTCATTCTGTTCCATGCACTCTCGTGTACTTACAAATCGTTTTGTTATACCGACCGTGAGAGAAATACTTGTTTCACTCTGACACACAACGTACGCTAGCTCGAACCGCATACACGCATACACCCGAAACGAACTCGATATGCGAGAACAATCCATGTTCACTCTTGCTTCGTAGAAATCAAACTCGATCTATACACGCTATTGTTCACACACAGGTCACACGACAGACCAAGACCGTTATCTGACTCCTATAATTTTAGACACCATTATCTTTCACGCAACAACTTCAACAATGCTCGAGGGGAGCGAAGAGTCGACCGCTCAGCAAACTTTTGTCGCCGTTGAAAAGTGAACCGCAGAGCCCTATCTATGCATCGCCACCTCATTCGCCGTTAAGTGACAGCCTCATACCCTACTCGCCCACGAACACCAGCCCGCCGAGCGCGAAAACGGCAGCGAACGTGATACAGAGCCAGTTGGGGGTGTCCCTGTTGACCGGGAACCAGAACATACCGTACAAGGCGCAGCTAAGCGGTTACAGTCACACAGCGGCGATTTACGAGCCGATCAACATAAAGACCGAGATCATCGATAAGAACGACGTTAGCAAACCGTTTGAACTGACTAACGAGATGTTAGGTTTGAGTGTCGCGAAAGAGAAGAAGAACTCGGCCGATACTCATTTCACCAGGGACACTCACATGAGGATAATTCTGGGGAATAGTGGAGCTGGTGTTGGCAGGAGTGTAAAGTCTATATCTGACCATACGCCTGCCAGGTAATCATTTTCATCTCCTAATTTATTAAATATTTAATATAATTCATATGCAGTATAGTTAGGATATTTGGAAGTATAAAGTAAAATATAGTATTTTGTATAGTTATTTGATAACCTTTGTGACTTTTTGCCATTTCAGTGCAAGTAACGCAAAACCAAAGCGCAATGGCTTGGTGTCCAATCCAGCCATGAGATTAGTAGCGAGTGTTAGAAACGGAATTGAGAATGCGACTAATAGAAATAAACCCATTACGACGCAAGTAAACGGATTTCAGTGGAAAGCGGAGGCACGAAAGGAAACACCTTTGTAGGGACAGGTATTGACACAGTTTTACTTTTGAGGATCGCGGGGGAACATCTTTGATCATGAGAGCCAATGTATCTGTATCTTGAACATACATACAAAGAAAAAAAGAACAAAAATCATAGAAGCCTTAAGATACTTTCATTGTACAAACAAATAGAGCAGTATACTTGTATCTCTTACAACGCACCATATCATTTCGTTATGCTTAATGAATATATACAATTTCCATTAAATTATACACTTAGAATTAGAATTTCAATACTTCTGTCCCTTGGATTTCATTTGATTTCATTGTCAACTTTGATTTAAAGAACGTTTTATGAGTTCTTAGACCTCCTCTTTATTTTCGAAGTTTAGTTGTAGTTTCATGAATTGATATTACAGTTTCCGTATGATCACACAGTTTCTAAGAAATAGACGTAGATAAACCTTATGCACTGTAATCGCAGTGTCCAATTTTGGAAGTGGTATCAGTAGATCATTGTATTCCTTTTCATTAAATCATGACTTATACATTTTTGCATGATCAAGAATAACTATGTATAACATTAGATTCTGCAGTAAAGTTAGACGCTTAGCAACAGTGAGTTTGACAAGTTTTAATGTTCTAATCTTTTCAGAATAACTGGTTCCACTAATCTCTGTTTAAGTGTGTTTGTGTTGTGTCGAGTTCATTTATACAAATAATAAATTAATAATGCTGTAAGCTGGACTGAAGGTCTAATCACAGTCTTTAATTTCTGTGGTATAGGTTGTGTTGACAGAAACACCTCAACAGGACACCGGAATCCGTTACTGTGGCTGGCGAATCGTAATCACCAAAAAGCGAAAGTCAATAAACAAATTTTTCTCGTTTTATTTGAGCAAAATCAAATTACCTCACCTGAAAAAGTGAAGCGCAAGAGAAAGGTCTATTGAGAACCCTGATTAAAGTGGAAATTGAGTAATATACGAAATAAAAAAAAAACCAAATATTAAGCAACATAGGAAAATATGTAGATCTAGATATGTAAACTTATGAAACATGACTTTGTATAAATGTAACGTTAATAAATTTCTTTACTGATCTCACTAATAAACTTCATATAAACGACAGTGAACTAATTATTGGAACTTTAAGAATTAGTAGTGATGATTTTAATGGAGAAACGATAGTAGATTATTTGAGATTCTTTTCCTTCAGAAGACTGGATGCAAACGAAATGCATAATGTGATGTTTTAACGATTAACTTTGAAAGACGGTACCGAATTGTAAAGATATGTATAAATTATATTGAACGATTAAAGATATATAGCATGGTAATGCGAACTCAGTTACAAATACGTAAAATTATGGCCTGAAAATCTAAAGAAAAAAAAAACGTGTGTAAATACACATTCTTCATGTATTGTGCACGATCATATTTATTATATTGTAATAGGTGCAAAATAAATAAAAAGCAAAATATCAACATTAATCGTTCATTCCTTTATCTGCTATTACTACTTTCCAATTAAGTAAACATCGCTGCAACTATAGTCAGTTATTGATCACAGCGTAGAACTTACTCCGGTTTTTACCACACAAAAAAAAATCGTAAATACATCCTCTGTTATGAGATGTCTCGCTCAAGGTGATGCTCTGTATTTTTAAGAGATGTAATATACTACTAATGTAACAAAGGAATCTGTAATCGAATTTTAATTTTGTTTTATCATTCTTACAGATAAGAATTCTTATCTCTTATTCATGTGAGATACTATGAGATCTTGCATAAGAAGAAATAGTATCTGATTTTCTTTATGCTAATTGCAAGTCTGTGATGCACTGTACATATAAACTAGTATCATCGTAATAAATAATAGATTTATATACAATGAATGTTTTAAGAAATCTATTAAAGCAAAAATTAATATTAAGGACTGTTATTGGTGTATTTGCTGGAATTGTATTAGGTAGCATTCTGAAAATTTGTACACTTCAACCATGGTCAGAACGAAACATTATGTATCTCAAGTTTCCTGGAGAACTCTTTATGAGGTTGGTAAATTGTTTAATATTACCTCTTATAATATCCAGCATTGTGAGTGCAACTTGTAATTTGAGGAAATCAGGTAAATAGAAAATTTGTAAAAGGAGTAGTAATTCTTTTCTAAGTTATTATTTATTGCATGATTCCAATGCATAGGTCAAATTGGGCTAATGGCACTATACTATTACACAACAACAACAATACTTGGAATAATATTAAGCGTGATACTTGTTGAGACAATAAAACCTGGGGAAGTACTCCAAACTGAAAATATTATTTCACAAAATTCAACAAGATATTTCATGACAGTGGATACAATTTTAGATTTGTTTCGGTATTCCATTCCTATGCATAATACTAATGCAATACTTAATAGAATTCAATTTAATACTATTATTTATTTCAACTTTTTTGTATTATAGTAATTTAATACCAGATAACATGGTGAACACATGCTTAAATCAGGTACAGAATGTTTTACTTCTATTATCTTTTACCCTGAATGATCAATTAAGTTAATACGTAATAATAAATGAATGAAATCACTGTTTTAGTACCAAACTGTATTAGAAATACCAGAAAATAAATCAGGTATGTTTGAAGAGGAATATAAGAAGCTTTATTCTAAATCTAATGAGTCTAAAAAACACCTAATGCCCACAAAATATGTTTCCTGTTATAGTAGCATTAGCTGAATGGCGAATAGACCATAAAAATGCACCAGGAACGAATATCTTGGGCTTAGTTTTCTTTAGTTTATTGTTGGGTCTAGCAATTGGAAACATAGATGAAAAGGGTGAACCCTTAAAAAACTTTTTTCATTCTTTATCAGAAACAATGATGAAGATCATGAATTGGACAATAATGTAAATATAATCCTCATTAATCGCAAAGATGAATATTCATCATAGAATAAAAATACTTTTATGTTATATAGGACAGTACCAATAAGTGTTTTGTTTCTCATCTCTGCAAAAATTCTGGAAGTAGAAGATTTTGGTAGCATAATTAAACGATTAGGTGTTTACATGTTCACTGTGTTCAGTGGCTTGTTCATACAAGGCTTTGTAGTACTTCCCCTGTTGTATTTTATATGCACTCGTCAATCTCCATACAAAGTAATATTTAAACTTGGACCAGCTTTTGCTACTGCATTTGGAACATCATCCAGGTAATTAATCAAAACATTAAACTACTTCCATTTAGGAAAAATATAAATATCTAAAAATTATAATTTAGTACAGCTACAGTCCCTGTAACAATGGCATGCTTAGAACACATTGGAATATCTACCAAGATAACTAAATTTATAGTTCCCATAGGAGCTACAATAAACATGGATGGTATAGCACTGTATGAAACTATTGGTGCAATATTTATCATTCAATTACATGGACTGCAATATTCATTATTTAGACTCATAATAATCAGGTTGCATATTATCATATATAATGATATAGTCTGTATAAGATTATTACATTTTTATAACTGTACTGAATGAAAATTTTTAGTATAACATGCACCTTGTCATGTATTGGTGCTGCTGGCCTACCTAGCGGTGGATACGTTATGTTAATAATGGTACTGAATTCCGTGGGAGTTCCAGCAGAAGATGTTTCATTAATTATTGCAATTGACTGGTTTGTGTAAGCATCTATCAATTTATAAAAATTGTACTATTTAGGCAATATACTAAATCGAAATATTACTTTGCAGAGATCGTTTTAGAACGACCATGAATATCATAGCTGATGCACTCGGAGCTAGCATTATAAATCATTATTACAATAAAAATAGAGAAGATTCTATCCCAGAAAGACTAGAATTGTGTACTTTAAATCAAGATGATTTAGTGTAGCATATCATAGAATAATAGTGTATTAAATTAATGAATATAACTTGTTGTATACAACGACAGACGAGATATAAGAATAGACCTACCATGCAATGTAATTTTCTGTCCCATGTTTCGAGGGCGTCAGAAGCCCCCTTACCATTTTAGTGTCAATACCCGACGTTACCGATAAAGTATGAATTCTGAGTATTATTAGCACAAATGAAGTGCTATATATTCCATTTATATTATAAATATGTCGAATAAAAATATCCGATGCTTCAGTTTAAGGTTTAAGGTTAAAGGATAAATATGACAGTCATGAAACATGAAACGGAAACGTATATATTTTTTCACTTAACTACAAAACACTTTATTCTAAATGCATCGTTAATGGACATTTTATTAATGTTACTTTTTACATATTCTTGCCTTATTCGTTTTTATATCTTGCCTTACATTTGTATATTTGTAACAGATAAATTCAGAATAGATGTAGTTTCATAAATAGTCTATCAAATCTACCTTTTGGCCAGCGGCTTACAATTTTCCTTGCA